TAGAGAAAAACAAATAGAAGTAACTTTGAATTGGATAGCGACGTATTTGTTTCAATGGAATAACTCGACTGCATCTGAATATTTGGCCGAACGATTATCAACTCATGTTTTAATGACTGTGGAAAAAACTTGTGCCTACATCATGTCTTTTTGAACTACCAGCATGTGCAGCTTTTTTCAAATACCGTTGTCATACAAACAGATTGTTGCGGTTGCTTTTTTAAACGCAACACCAAAATAATCATTCAACAGGATAATCAAGCAATGTATGCCTTGTTAATGGCCTGGCAAGCCTGAGATTACTGCAATTTTTTTTCAGATCATTTCTATGTCCTCTTCCAATCGGTCATAATGAAAACTCTTTGAGTCGAGAAGTATACATTCTAGTTAAGTCTAGCTTAAATATTGGAATAACGATAGTATCTACACATGATCTCTCGTTGTTGACCACTGTTCTTCAAGAATGGTACCGGTACCGTAGTTACGATTTTCTATACTTTCCTCACAAATGTTTTGATGGATGTCTTTAGTATATAAATGTGGCATGCACTTGGTATTATAGGGCACTTAGTTTTACTGCAGGTACTTCAAAATGAAACACTTTGTAACCTTCTATAGGGATATTTGTTGATTTTGATATCTTATGACGGCCATCTTGGATAACGCCGCCATATTGAAATTTCAATTTGGGTCCCTAGCTTATATTGTTTGAAGCACATAGCACTAATAAAATGACAAATTTGAACTAATATAAGGGATATTTGTTGATTTTGATATTTTATGGCGACTATTTTGGAAAAAGCCGCCATATTAAAATTTCAAGGTTGGTTCACAGCTAATATTTTTGAAACACCCAGCTCACTGCCATGCCAAATTTGACCTTAAACGTGACCTTATATAAGTGATATATGTTGATTTTGATATTTTATGGCGGCCAACTTGGAAATAGCCGCCATATTAAAATTTCAAAGTGGGTCCATAGCTTATATTGCTTGAAACACCCAAAACTACTACCATGCCAAATTTGGTGCTTTTATCATCAAACCAACAATTTTTTCACCAATCTGCCGGACTAATTTAGATAATCATAATCACAATCTCAAATTTATAAAATTCCAACAACTTGAAACCGTTCAGAAACAACCAGGACAATCACACAAGCAATTTGAAAAATCCCGTGACATTCGCGAACTATTTTGGATAAAAAGACTTCAAACAGCTTATCCTCTCGGTCTCAATGAAAAAATATTTGGACAAGGGAACACATCTAAAACTTCTATCGATGTCATTAATATTGTCGATAAACGGCTAAGAAACGATAAACGGGTATACGTAAAAACCGTAATCTACGTATTAAACATCGTATCAATTATACACTTGCTGATCTGTTATCTATAATAAAAAAATAATGGTAGATATCAATTATTATGCAAACGTGGTCATATACCAATAAGTAAACTATATGATATTTTTCTGGAGTGTGATAAAATTTCATTTTTTAGCCCGTTGTATGAATACACCCGTATAATTACAGCCTTTTGTCACCACAGGCTGTTTCCTAGTATCGATAAACCTGAAAATCATAAACGGTATTTTCTTAAATTAAAATATATAAATAGAGGTATTGATTTTATTAACTTATCTAGTATATTCAATGACTCTACCATCCATAGCCAAATACCTCCATATTTTAATAATACAGAACCACTTATTATTTCGTATTCGTACAAAAAAAAACAGCAGAAGTTTCATTTTTAATTATACGTCAGTAACATCAGACGTCAATATAGAAAATAATGCTCCTTCCACTTGAGACTGTGAAACATCTAGTTTTAGATATGTTCCCTATTATCATGTCATTACAAGAGACCTCAACATCGTTGAAGACCGTGAAGTCAAAACTTTTCTTAAGAAAGGACCTAAATATCGTCCTCCATCTATTATAGATTGGAAACAGTGTCGTTAGGTCATTAAAGACGCTCTGTCTGCCTACTGTAAAAATTGGTGTAAACGTGAAAAATCTTATAAAAATCTCTAGACAGTTATTTGAATAAAATTATGAATACTGTTGATATTCGTATATCTCATTTTGAAAATAATTCTGAAATTAATAATAGGGTTCATAATATACCCATTTCTAGAATAAAAAATAATCTCCAACTACTCGCAAAGCGGTTTGTGTTCGTACCGGCAGACAAAGCAGCCAATAATGTAGTGGTGGTGTCACGCATATACTACACGGAAGTTCTCCAAAACTAATTAATCAATTTTTTTACATTCCGATTTGGATGACACATACAACAATACCTACCGTTATCTTGATGATATTTTTTCGTTAAATAAGCCAGAGTTCTCTAAATATACTTCCGAAATTTACCCAAAGGGAATTACTTCAAATAAATCTAACATAAACAGCAGTAGTTGTCCTTTTCTAGATTCACACATTTCTATTCCTAAAGGGAAACTCCATACTAAAATTTATGACAAAAGAGACGATTTTTCATTCCCTATTGTTAATTTTCCTTTTTTAAACGGCGATGTTCCTTTCGTTCCATCATACGGTGTTTACATATCCCAACTTGTTCCTTATGTCCGTGTGTGTAGTGATGTCATAGATTTTAACGAACGTAATCAATGCATCACGGGTAAATTATTAAGTCAGGGATTTCTTCACCATAAATTATTTAAAACATTTACTAAATTCTTTCATAGATACAAAGATTTGATTAGTAAATTTGGCTGTACCTGAAGAAAACTTATTAAAAACGGTATTTCACATCCTAAATTTTACGGCAATATTGTACTAAAAGCGCGGAAATTACTATGTGATCCGTGTAAACTCATCGAACCTTTTAACAAACTTATTGGTAAAGGTTATCTTGTTAATGTTGTAATAAGATCTTTGAATATTGTTTACATTGGCACAAATATCGATTTTGTCATCAACAAATTAAAACATAACTAAATTTGTAATCTTTTCGAATGTTTTTTTGGGGATTTATAAATACACATCCACGTTTATTTTCTATATAGAGATTGCTTTATCTATATATAACATGATACATATTTATTATAAGGTTAAATCCTAACTATCCCACTACCTGTCGATACTTTTATTTTTGGCATTGCACAAGTCATGTCTTCTTTGACTGTCAATGGCGTTAAAACCCTTAATCCCTGGGTTGTGTTTTAATTGATGTTAGTCTCTGATGCATGATTTTTTGATTATTAATTGTTTTTTGGCTTTTAACTAGCTTTCAGTAAACTGCAAGTACTTTCAAAACGTACTTTCGTGTTAATTTGATCTGTTGACACAATTTGTAATGCATTTTTGTTATTCAATTTTTACTTATTTTGTGTTATATCTATTCTCACTATTTTTTAATATGTACCACCTTTGAAAATTATTTAGCATGACGATAAATTTTCACTTCTGTACTAGTACTATGAACAACAAATCTATCTATTTTGTAAAAAATATTTCCGCACTCCTATTAACAAAATTATTATATTTAAATTTACCTGTGTACGTTATTTCATTTAACGCCATTTTGTCCCAGGTTAAAGTTGTCTTTTTGACATTGTTTTACATCCCCCCTTTTTTTATTAATATTGTATTTATATTGTGTCATAGATCAAATTTATTCGTTCAGTGTGTGTTTACTTGTTTTTGTTAATATGTCTTTTTGATCGAGTTAAGTCATTTCAATTGATATTTTATAGTGTGTCTTTCTATGTTGTAATGTTACACTACTGTTTCTTCAGGTTAGGGTGAAGGTTGGCGCCTGTTAAAACGTTTAAACCCGCTGCATTTGTTTGCACCTGTCCTAAGTCAGGAACCTGTTGTTCAGTGGTTGTCGTTTGTTGGTGTGGTTCATAAGTGTTTCTCGTTTCTCGTTTTTTATATAGATTAGACCGTTGGTTTTCCTGTTTGCATTGTTTTACACTAGTCATTTTGGTGCCCTTTATAGCTTGCTGTTCGGTGTGAGCCAAGGCTCCGTGTTGAAGGCCGTACTTTGACCTATAATTGTTAATTTTTTACACATTGTGACTTGGATGGAGTGTTGTCTCATTGCCGTTCATATCACATCTTCTTATTTCTATATAAAGCCAAATATCAAAATTTCAAACATATGAACCCCTCCATTAATCTTTAAAACTGTGTTGGATAGAGAGAAACCATAAGCAGCAAAGACGGTCAGCGAGTCAATTAAATCTAAAAATAGGTCATTAGGACTGAAATCGCCAGTCAACTCCTTACTTTCGCTGGCATGTATCCGTTGTGCTTGACTCATCATTTTTTTGTATTATGCGCATAAATTAAGAATAACGCATTCAGTTATCTGTAAAGTTGTACATGAGCGTAGCCGGTAAAATAAAACACAAATTAGTCAGCATTTGAAATATTACATAAGTACAATAATATTATGCAGAACCCAGATACAAAATTCCGTCTATAAACGAAAACCTGATTAGGGTTTGAATAAGGACGTCGAAGGGTTTTCGTTTCAAGTTTGAATTTTTCAAATTAAGATAATACTGAATAAAGAGCTTTCCAAAAAGGAATGCTGATTTGCAAAGAAAACGAAGAGAATGTTATAATACTTGGCAAAACTTTTAGGAATTTGGGGTCCTCAATGCTCTTCAACTTCGTACTTTATTTGGCCTTTTAACTTTTTTGATTTTCTGATGAGTCTTTTATAGACGAAACGCGCGTCTGCCGTACAAAATCTAAATCCTGGTATCTATGATGAATTTATTTATCTAATTGCATTTTGGGGACTCAATTGTTTGTTTGTTTTTTCTTCTTGTTGTTACTTTGATATTAGTCCCTTCTATTTCATTGAAAATAAACAAAACATCTGATTATGGTGACAAACTGTGTCACAATCTTGTGGTATTTTGATTTAACCATTTCATTGATAATAAATCAAATGAATTGGATAAAAGCCAGTGCCTATACGATGGTCTGTAATAACAAGATTGAACTAAAAACAAGATAAACATGCTTTAAATTTAATTCAAGAAGTCAGCTATTAAATTTACAGAACACTTACAGTACATAAATTGTCATATGAAAATCGTCAATATTCAAAATTTGAATGATTGGTAAAGTAACAATTCAAAGAAAGAAAAAATCTTTGATACGTATATAGGGGTCTGGTTTTTCGAAATTACCCTTAAACATATATCCTATGACATGCGTTATAGGACTATCAAAAGATCATCCTAGTATACGTCTTAGACTGTACATCAAATATGACTCAGGATAATCCTATTCAGGATGGTCTTACGGCTATCTTAGGATTATCCTAAGTTGTATGTATGCTCTATGTAAAAGCATTCTTTCTTCTTAATTATAATCATCATCACTAAGATAAAATACAAAGAAAAGGGGAGGAAAGAAAAGTTGTTCATCACAAAAAAATGTTGATTAAGTAATATAATATAACAATTATATCTGTTAAAAAGATATCGTGGCTTTGATGATTAATGAAATTACAGGACAAATAAATTTTGCACTGTTTACATGTGCATATTTGCAGCGAATAAATTCTTTCCTGTGCTCTTGCGGTAATCAATAGTAAAAACTAATGTTTGCATGTTTTAACATTTTATCTGGAACCTTTGCATGCATTTTACATGTACGCCTTACACGATAACTTCATTGGAATAGATTTAACGACCAATATACATTTGATAAGTTGCCATTGACATGACAAACAGTCATATTTACCTTACACTATCTGGTCTTATAACTCCTTCAAAGCATGAAAAGACTAATTATAGCAAAAAATGTTTTATCGATATAAAGGTAAAGGAAATATGTTAATGCTTATTCTTAGACCATCTGGAGGTGTTTTGGTTTCATAACTTTACGATACGTTTTAATATTTATTCTAACTTAATACACGTTCAAAAACATCACTTTGGACAAAAAAGAGAGGCGGCAGATACCAAATGGATATTCAAACTCATAAGTCGACGACAAACTGACAACACCATGATTCTAAGTTGTGCCCCTAAGACCATCCCAGGACATGGTTTAGTCATATAATACTTTCGAAAACCAGGACCCTGAACATGATGGAGATACAATCATCATATCAAGTTCAATTTATTGGTGTAAATATATATCAAGTTGTAAATTATCTTATGCATTCTGCAAACTTATCAAATTGGGTTTGTGTCGGAATAATAAAAAAACGCAGTCAGAATTATTGCTTTATTAGTAATATTTAAGTTACCATTTCCAAGTTATTCTGAAATAACTCACACAAATTATAATTGGGGAAAGCCTAATATGTTTTATAAAAAAATTTTGAAATATCGTTTGTTTAAGACTTGTGCTGACCTCTAAATAGATGTCAGTTGGTGATTTCGATCGCCGTTCGGTTGCTGTCTCGTTGACTTGTATCCCTCCTCTACTTGTGATTAAACGGACAAATAAAAACGATATATACAAGTATTAAAGTATCAAAGTAAAGTAAAACAAACAGTAAATAGAAATAGTAATAGAAAATGAAAACAGAGAAGGGTCAGTGAAATCAGATCAATAAATAACAATAAAATAAATAGTGAGACCAAGTGTTTTTCTCTTTCTATGTTCAGGTTATGAATAACATGGGTCCGAGGCTATTGGAAAGAGCTGTCGTTGAAAAGGGACCTTCTCTAAATACGTGATCTCTTATTGCTCCTACTCGGTTTTGTTGTCGCTATAATCAACTTGATGTAACGATCTTTACAGCTATCATCGTCATCCTTTTGTATAAGCTTTTCTTTGTAGATATAACTTTAATGTGTACTCGATGAAACTCGATAGCAATGCTCGCCTCTTATAACTGCTTCTAAGACTCCTGAAAATACATTTTACGTTCCAAACAGTGAATGTTTTTCATATTCATAAACTGTTATAGAATAGAGAATGGAAACGAATAATGTGTTAAAATTTAAAAAAAAAACACACACACACAATACTATCAGAGGTTCATGACTTGGGACAGGTACAAAAATGCGGCAGCTTTTAACATGTTTTTTGAGATCTCAAAACTCCCCCTATACCTCAAGCCATTGTGGAATAAACAAACATACAGCAATACACGCAGTAAAATTCAGTTTAAAAGAGGTCCGAGCCCGATGTTAGAATAGGTCACAGACGAAACTAAGCTAAATGACAATGATCAACATAAATTAACAAACCGACATGCCAGCTCCAGACCTCAATTAAAAAAATAATATAACATACACTATTATTAAAACTACATAAAAACAGGGTCAAGAAGTCAAGTTATTTAGATTAAGAATATTATATTTATATATACTAAAACTATACATTGATTTGTTTTTGTAAGATGCTTCAATGAGAGAAACAATCAAATTTAATTTGTCAAGCTATGCTACTTAATGTTCTACCAGGAACTCGCGAAACAAAAATGCATTAACAAAAAAGATGTGTACAAATTGAAGAGGCCTTACGAAATTAGTCACTACCGTTCGGGAATTATTTTGAATTCAGTCTGAATGACAATAACGTTATACTGCAATACAAAAAAGCTGATAATAAATGATCACGACTGCCTTCTAATTTGCTTTTTTATAATTACAGCATTCCAAACACAATACTAATGACTCTTCATGACAGTTTAATAATGTTACGAGATTTATTTATTTATAAATTACAAATCACTGTACTCGTATGCTTTTACGTAAAACAAAGGAGACATTTGAGGCGTAAATATGTAAGGTACGAGTTCTTTTCACGTAATACCATGTTATCAAAATACTAAATGCATGTTTTGGAGGCTTTCTCTGTAAAAACAGTGCAACCTTTCTAAAGCAAACGCCTTTGGACAGCTTTCGCAGAGCCTTCGCAGTTTAACGTTATATTGAAATTAAGAACGCTTTCGATCTACCCGTCGAACGATCTTCATTAAGAATATTTAATTTTAAGTTGTTCATAACTCGTTTGGTTTTCTCAGTATTTGCAAATTACTTTTGTGAATAATTAAATTTAATCTTCAGAATGATTATGTCAAGTATAAAAAGGGCTCGAAACCAGAAACTTTTTAAATAAATAAATAAATGTTCTATAAACATTTACTAAATATAAAGATTTGATTAGAAAATTTGGCTGTACCTGTAAAAGACTAATTAAAAACGGTATTTCATATCCTAAATTTTACGGTAATATTGTACTAAAAGCGCGGAAATCACTATGTGATCCGTGTTAACTCATCGAACATTTAAACAAACTTTTTAGTAAAGGTTATCTTATTAATGTTGTAATGATATCTTTGAATATTGTTTACATTGGTACTCATTGTAACATCGATTTTGTCATCAACAATGTGTTTTAATTGATTTTAGTCTCTGATGCATGATTTTTTATTATTAATTGTTTTTGGTTTTTAACTAGCTTTCAGTAAACTGCGAGTACTTTCAAATCGTACTTTCGTGTTAATTTGACCTGTTGCCACAATTTGTAATGCATTTTTGTTACTTATTTTGTGTTATATCTCATCTCCCTATTTTTAATATGTACCACCTTTGATAAGTATTTAGTATGACGATAAATTTTCTCTTCTGTACTCATACTGTGAACAACAAATTTATTTGTTTTGTAAAAAATATTTCCGTATTCCTAACAACAAAATTATTATATTTAAATTACATGTGTAGGTTATTTTATTTAAAGCTATTTTGTCCCAGGTTATAGTTGTCTTTCTGACATTGTTTTACATCTTTTTTTATTAATATTGTATTTATATTGTGTCATAGATAAAATTTATTCGTTCAGTGTATGTTTACTTGTTTTTGTTTATATGTCTTTTTGGTCGAGTTAAGCCATTTCAATTGATATTTCATAGTGTGTCTTTTTATGTTGTAATGTTACACTACAGGTTAGGGTGAAGGTTGGCGCCTGTTAAAACGTTTAAACCCGCTGCATTTGTTTGCACCTGTCCTAGTTAGGAGTCTGTTGTTCAGTGGTTGTCGTTTGTTGATGTGGTGTATAAGTGTTTCTCGTTTCTCGTTTTTTATATAGATTAGACCGTTGTTTTCCTGTTTGCATTGTTTTACACTAGTCATTTTGGGGACCTTTATAGCTTGCTGTTCGGTGTGAGCCAAGGATCCGTGTTGAAGGCCGTACTTTGACCTATATATATAATTGTTTACTTTTTACACATTGTGACTTGGATGGAGTGTTGTCTCATTGCCGTTCATACCACATCTTCTTATTTCTATATAAATTTGAAATGTGTTGAATATGTAATGTAATAAAATTGTCAGCTTTTAATTAAATGTAAAAAATAATAAGATCGTAAATTATAGGTAAAATCTAGGAGTTCACATTACATATCAGTGAATCATTATAATTGATTATGGAATGTATTTTGACAGTTAAATTAAAAATCTTTTTGTTTCACATAAAACTGATCAAAGTCTATCTTGTGGGTTTTTTAACAAAATATTTTGCTTTTTTTCAGTTTCATTTTCTTAAAAATATCTAATTTTACGAATTCCATTACAAGGGAAAAGAAAACAATACTATATACCAGGTTTTGGAAGATGAATAACATGAGATATTCAGTGAGACAGTAACCCAAACAACACAAGAAACCAAAAGACACATTTTTTTTTTTTTTATATTAACTATAGTATTTTACATTTCCATTAGTTTAACATTTAAATTGTGAAAAAAGATTTTAATACATTTAAATTGAACTATCCCGGTGATGTTTAACATATTATAATATATAACAATCTTTGGAGTTCCAACTTATTTTCTACCAATTGTTTGGTCTCCTGAGTCTTAGTACATCTATGAAATCTCTAAAGAGTAATTAATACCATTTCAATTGAATTTTCCATAAGGCATAATATAAATCAGTGTCTGGTAAAATAAGCGGAGAGTAAAATTAAATGGAAATTAATTTGAAAAAAATATCATCTATTGCATAAATATTAGATTTCATATACATGCCTTCACCTCCATCTTAGTATTGGTTTATTGTCGGTTATTATTTAGACTTAATTAAATAAAAGTCAGAATTGGTCAAGTGTGGTCCAGACTTGATTAAGTAAAAGTCAGACTTGAGTGGAGCATGGTTCATACTCTATAAAATGGTTAAGAACTGGTCAAATAATTTAGGTACAAGTTCAGTCTGCTTAGTATGGTTCAGACTGCAGTCAAGTACAATATAAGTGTAATATAGAGTAAAATTCAATCCAATTAAGATTGTTCGAGTAATAATCACTACAATCGAGTATACATATTGCCCATTTCAGACTTTACTTGATATGTAGTATTCGTCAGTTAATGTCATTTTTTGGGTTTGTTTTGTCCTTTTGGAGATTTGGTGTTGATGGAAAACATTGAAGTCTCTGTTAATGCATACCTAACTTTTCTAGAATCAAGGCGTTTTGGAGTGTGACAGATTATTTAGATCCTTTTTCATTGTGGAAAACGTATATGTTCTAGTCTAGATGACTTTTGCTTGTTTGTGCCGTGGGGATACTGCCTCATTTGCGTATACTCAACACCTTCTTTTATTGATAATTGTTTATCAGTGTTTTATTAACAAGAATTTTAAAGAAAATAGACATAATTTGGAACTGACGCTTTTAACCTGAAAATTTGAATATCAGAAATAATGTCTCATGTAATCTAAAGATAACAGAAAAACCTAAAAAAAACATTGACATATCAAAACTTATATCATATCTGTTTATCCTGTTTGTTAAAATATGAAGACAAAATACTTTGGTTTCCGCAAAAATAAAATACTTAAACTGCGTCAGAAACATACTTCAAATATGAATACAAGGAGTTCTGGTGTTCTTGTCAATGAGACGAGCAAAGCAACAAAACGATCCTATGAGCAACTTATTTATTGACACAATCACATTAACGTTTTTGACATTTAATGACCACAGACGATCCCAGAGTCTTTCATAAGACGTTTAACTATCAATCAAATATAATTATATACATCTTCATTAGAATAGTGTCATACTTCATGACGTCATAAAACCAGAATTGTGACATAACATCATCATTAGAATAGTGTCATACTTCATGACGTCATAAAACCAGAATTGTGAAATAAAATCAAATTATTTCATCATGATGACATTTCAATCATACCCCGTCCTAGCGCCCTTACCTTCTAGAAAGGAAAAAGATACCAAGAGGCAAACAAAAACCATAGGTCGTACAGACAATACCATAATGAAAAACAAAAACCATAGGTCGTACAGACAATACCATAATGAAAAACAAAAACCATAGGTCGTACAGACAATACCATAATGAAAAACAAAAACCATAGGTCGTACAGACAATACCATAATGAAAAACAAAAACCATAAGTCGTACAGACAATACCATAATGAAAAACAAAAACCATAGGTCGTACAGACAATACCATAATGAAAAACAAAAACCATAGGTCGTACAGACAATACCATAATGAAAAACAAAAACCATAGGTCGTACAGACAATACCATAATGAAAAACAAAAACCATAGGTCGTACAGACAATACCATAATGAAAAACAAAAACCATAGGTCGTACAGATAATACCATAATGAAAAACAAAAACCATAGGTCGTACAGACAATACCATAATGAAAAACAAAAACCATAGGTCGTACAGACAATACCATAATGAAAAACAAAAACCATAGGTCGTACAGACAATACCATAATGAAAAACAAAAACCATAGGTCGTACAGACAATACCATAATGAAAAACAAAAACCATAGGTCGTACAGATAATACCATAATGAACTAAAACCATAAGTCGTTCAGACAATACCATAATGAAAAACAAAAACCATAGGTCGTACAGA